AACCCTTGTGGCCTTTACTTCTGGAGGGAGTGGGGTCTTGTAGTTTTCCATGAGTGGGATCTTGTGACTCTTTTTATGACCTGCTGACTTTTAGTTTAAGGGTCAGTCTAAAACCAGAATGGCTTTACTTTGGCCACCTGTCTCCCGAGCCTCCCTTCCCTCCTGCCTCAGTACTGAGTCTCAGCGCCACCTGGGATGGGTCCTGGAGTGAAGCAGTAAAGGGGCCACAACCCCTCCCCTCTGGGCTAGATCTGGGGACGGGGGATTATTCCGGGGCAAGGGACCCTCAGAGGTTGGGGGACGTCCCCTCTGCCCCCAGGGACATGCTGCAGCTCACACCCCCGCCCGCAGGTACCGCTATTACCAGAATGTGTGCACGCACAGCTACTCCTTCGTGTGGTGGGACTGGGCCCGCTGGGAGTGGGAGCTGGACTGGATGGCACTGAATGGCATCAACCTGGCACTGGCCTGGAGTGGCCAGGAGGCCATCTGGCAGCGGGTGCGTCCCCCCCCCCCCCGCTCCATGTTCCTGTCTCCCCACAGCTCAGGGTCCGACACACAGAATAAAGACTTAGAAGTGTTTGTGGTGTGCATGATGGCCCCAGCTCTCTGGAAACAGGCTTCCATTGCTGAGCCGAACACAGAGGAGCACTTCCTGGGGGCTGGACCCCAGCACCCCACTAGAAATGCTAAGGAGTCGGGCTCCCCTCTCTCCCACCCCCACAGCTGGTCAGGCTGCTGCTTCCATGGGTTCTGTTTCATCCTTTTCATCCTTATTCATGGCCCCAGTGCAGGCTTTTGCCCCCTCTCCTTGGAGGACTCCCCCTCCACACACACACCCAAGAGCCTTTGAACAGGACTCCTGGCTCCTAAGTTCCACCAGTGTCCTTTCTGAGATGCAGATCTGGTGGAGACCTGCTGCTGTCAACACTCAGGAGCTCCCCTCAGTTTCAGGCTTTGCCCTGCCTGGGCCCTTCCATGCCTGGGCCCTGAGGGTTCTTGCGGCTGGGGGCTGGGTGGGGGGTTGCTCTTTAGTCTCCCTGCAGAGCTGGCCTCACCTCTCATTCTAGGCGACCTTGTTCTGTGAGGCCTTCTAAGGCTCCTTTCCCGTTTAGGGGAGAGCCCCTTTGTGCCTCACCTCACCCTTGCAGCAGAGCTGACTGATTAGTAAACTCACTTGTTCACAGGCCTGTTTCTCCTGGACTGTGAGCTCCTGGCAAGGGTCACGTTTTGTCTTAGTAACTCTAGGGCTCAGCACAGAGAAGAGATGAATGAGTGTTGAGCGAATGAATTAATGAACGGAGATGGATGTATTTATATGTATTTATGTGTGGGGATCACCCTCCTCCTCAGGTGTACCTGGCCTTGGGCCTGACCCAGTCAGAGATCGATGAGTACTTCACAGGCCCCGCCTTCCTGGCCTGGGGGCGCATGGGCAACCTGCACACCTGGGGTGGCCCCCTGCCCCGCTCCTGGCACCTCAAACAGCTTTACCTACAGGTAAAAGGACGGGGAAGGAAAGGGGGCAGAATTGGACAGTGCTACATAGTCGTTGGCCAAGGAGGGTGGTATTTGGCGAGCCTCGGGGCTCTTAACTAGGCCTTGGGGACTCTGTGTGCCCTGGGGAGGGGGGGGAGTGAGGGCCTCCCAGCTTAGGCCACACCCACCACCTCCCCTTCCACTCCGCCCCCCCCAGCATCGGATCCTGGACCGCATGCGCTCCTTCGGCATGATCCCGGTGTTGCCTGCCTTTGCAGGGCACATCCCCAAGGCTCTCACCAGGTAACGTTCCCCTCCTTCCCTCCAACTTGGCTCAGAGAGAGAATTTATTTTTCCCTGCAATATGTGATTTAAAGAAAAACTGAAGTTCTGAATGGAGGCCTGGGCTTGTTTGCTGACCTTCCTCTCCTGTGGCTGGGAAAATTCTTCAAGGCCCAGCTGAGACCTCCCCTCCTTCGGGTAGCCTTGCTGGGGCCCCCAGCCTTGGTTAGCACCTCCTTCGTGCCCATGAGCACCTGCTTCGCACCACTGTCACAGGGCTTGCCAGGGCTCAGAGCAGAGGCGGCACTGGGCCATATCTTGAAAAATGAGTGTTGCTTGTTTCAGCTGGTGGGAGGGGGAGAGAGCAGAAGCTTTACAGATAAGGTGAAACTCAAAGGATGTTGAGGAGTAACCAGCTACATAAGCAGAGAGGGAGGAGGAAAGGACTCCAGCCACAGGGGGCACAGTCTGTGCAAAGGCACAGAGGCACGAGAGACTGGGATGAGTTCCGGAAACTGCAGATAAGCCAGTGAGGCTGGTGGTGAATACTGTGTCAGCCTCCAGTAAATGTTTGGATTGCCACCCCCTCCTCCACTAGGGTGTTCCCTCAGGTCAACGTCACCCAGCTGGGCAGCTGGGGACACTTCAACTGCTCCTACTCCTGCTCCTTCCTCCTGGCTCCGGAAGACCCTCTATTCCCTATCATTGGGAGTCTCTTCCTGCGGGAGCTGACGAAAGAGTTTGGCACAGATCACATCTATGGGGCCGACACTTTCAACGAGATGCAGCCCCCGTCCTCAGAGCCCTCCTACCTTGCGGCAGCCACAGCCTCTGTCTACCAGGCCATGATCACAGGTTTGGTGCCAGGGGGAGCTGGGAAGGGGAGCCTCCCCTCACCCTCAGGGACATGGATGCGGCAGAGGTCAGTGGGGTGGGAAGAGACAGCACCTGACAGTTGACCAAGCCCTTGTACACACACATAACCACACACTGTGGTTGGGAGGTGACCTCTGGAGCCAGACAGCCTGCTCAGACCCTGGCCTGTGTGACTTGCAACAAGTTACCTCCCACCCAGTGCCTCAGTTGCTTCATCTGTAAAATGGGGCTACCTCATAAGCAGAATGATGCCTGGCCCAGAGGAAAGTGCCATTAAATGCTAGCTGTTGCAAGTATTTCATTTGGCCTCTGCCTCTGAGCCGAGGGAGGTAATGCGGGCCAGAGGTTAGGGGATGTGTTCAAAGCTGGTGGGTGCCCTTCCTCGTGCTCAAGGAACCCAGTGCTCCTTCCTGCCACTTACAGGGGAGGGCCAGAGAGGGGTCAGGTCAGCAGTGGCTGGGTGGGGAGGCCTCCGGGTCAGCCAGGAAGGGAACCCACTTGGGTCCAGGACCCAGGGCCTCAGCCTCATCCCAGAGCCTGTCAGGTCTGCACATTTCTCCTGAATCAGAATGACTTGGGCTTGGGCCCAGGGATCTGTTTTAAGCAAACTTCTGGGTAATTTTGATGCTTCATAAAGCTTGCCCATGCTGCTTTAGAGCTCCCAGCCGGGAGGAGGAGGCGATGGGAAGGGGGTGTGTGATGCAATGCCCTGTGGGTTGGGGGTTACAGAGGAAGGAGCGGTCTGTGATAGAGTCATTTAACTTCTCTGGACCCCCATTTCCTCATCTGTAGAATGGGGTGAACGTTCCCCTGCCCTCTTTCCTCTCATCAGTATGCTTCTCTGTCTCCCTTCCCCTGCCCCAACCACAGTGGACCCTGACGCTGTGTGGCTGCTCCAAGGCTGGCTCTTCCAGCACCAGCCCCAGTTCTGGGGGCCGGCCCAGGTGAGAGCTGTGCTGGGGGCAGTGCCCCGTGGCCGCCTCTTGGTTCTGGACCTGTTTGCTGAGAGCCAGCCCGTGTACGTCCGAACGGCCTCCTTCCACGGCCAGCCCTTTATCTGGTGCATGCTGCATAACTTTGGGGGCAACCACGGTCTGTTCGGGGCCCTGGAGGCCGTGAACCGGGGCCCTGCAGCGGCCCGCCTCTTCCCCAATTCCACTATGGCAGGCACGGGCATGGCCCCTGAGGGCATTGGCCAGAACGAAGTGGTCTATGCCCTCATGGCCGAGCTGGGCTGGCGGAAGGACCCGGTGGCTGATTTGGAGGCCTGGGTGACCGGCTTTGCGGCCCGTCGGTATGGAGTCGCCCACAAGGGTACAGAGGCCGCATGGAGGCTGCTTCTCAGGAGTGTCTACAATTGCTCTGGGGAGGCCTGCATTGGGCACAATCGCAGCCCTCTGGTCAGGAGGCCGTCCCTGCGGATGGTTACCACTGTCTGGTACAACCGCTCGGATGTGTTTGAGGCCTGGCGCTTGCTGCTGACAGCCACTCCCGCCCTGGCCACGAGCCCTGCCTTCCGCTACGACCTGCTGGACGTCACTCGCCAGGCGGCCCAGGAGCTGGTCAGCCTCCACTATGGGGAGGCCAGAACCGCCTACCTCAACAAGGAGCTGGTTCCCCTGCTCAGGGCGGCAGGCACCCTGGTCTACGAGCTTCTGCCTGCGCTGGACACAGTGCTGGCGAGTGACCACCGCTTCCTGCTGGGTGGCTGGCTGGAGCAGGCCCGGGCGGCCGCCGTCACCGAGGCCGAGGCCCGTTTCTATGAGCGGAACAGCCGCTACCAGCTGACGCTGTGGGGGCCCGAGGGCAATATCCTGGACTATGCCAACAAGCAGCTGGCAGGGCTGGTGGCTGACTACTACACCCCGCGCTGGGAGCTCTTCGTGGACATGCTGGTCGAGAGCCTGGTCCAAGGCATTCCCTTCCAACAGCACCAGTTTGATGAGAAGGCCTTCTGGCTGGAGCAGACCTTTGTCTTCAGCACACGGAGGTATCCCAGCCAGCCCCAAGGTGACACTGTGGACCTGGCCAAGAAGCTCTTCCTCAGATATTACCCCCGGTTGGTGGCTGGCTCCTTGTGACAGATGAACCACCCCTGGGTGGTGTGCTTCCCAAATTCCAGGCCTGGGCAAAGGAACTCAAGACCTGCCAGAGGATCAGGCATGGGAAACTGGGAGGGAGGTGAGCTGCCCTCCTCCACCACCCCAAATTTGGGATCAAAGTACTATTTTAATACAACTTAATAAACCGGTGAATCACCTGGGCCTATCTGTCCGACTGTCACTACCATGATGCCTGGGAGGACTCGGGGCTATAGGATGTACCCTGGGATGAGGCTCTTTCTCCCTGCCCCCTTGCTTTGGCCTCCCCGTTTCTGATACTAACACCCGACCTTGGAACTGGGAATGCCCTGCCAAAACGTTTACTTTCACACCCTCAGCAGGAAACTTTGGAAACTTTAATTGTCCCGGTGGGACAGAGGCACACCCAGGGGAAGATGTGCCCAGGGCACTTAGTGCCCACATGAGAGCCCACATCTCCTAGTTGCAAAGCTTTGCCCTGCTTCTGACCAGCCACTGAAGAAGGGGTATTCCAAGCATCTCCGCCTTGACCAGCAGCAGGATGGGGAAAGTAGGCCCCAGACCCGAAGGAGGGCTCAGCCTTGAGATTAGGCTGGAGACACAACAAGGGGTGGGGACCCCGCAGGCGGGGGCAGGGGCGGAGCCGAGCAGATGGTAATCTAGCTCAGAGGCCTGAGCCTTGCACTCCCCACACTCGTCTCCCCATGGACCGCACTGTGGTGCTCATCACTGGCTGCTCCTCGGGCATTGGCCTGCACCTGGCCCTGCGCCTGGCATCCGACCCCTCGCGGAGCTTCAAAGGTATATGAGGGGCTGGGATGGAGAGAAGGGAGCAGCCCAGGTCCAAGGGGACGCAGGTAGGGGTAAGCAGGGAATTCAGATCCTCGTCTTCTTCCGGAACCTCCAGTGTATGCCACGCTGCGGGACCTGAGGGCGCAGGGCCCTCTGTGGGAGGCGGCCCGGGCCCGAGGGTGCCCTCCTGGCTCCCTGGAGACATTGCAGCTGGACGTGAGGGACGCAGACTCTGTGGCCGCTGCCCGGGCACGCGTGACCGAGGGCCGCGTGGATGTGTTGGGTGAGCCTCCCCGCAACACGTGTGCAGGAGCCTTTCCGACGCTCCCAGGCCTCCGACCGAGGCCCAGGGACCTACTGGGTCCGAGGACAGAGAGGCAGGCAGGGCCTGACTTCTCTCCCCACAGTGTGCAATGCGGGGCGGGGCCTGCTTGGGCCGCTGGAGGTGCATACGGCTGGCGCCGTGGGGTCCGTGCTGGACGTGAACGTGACCGGGACGGTGCGGACACTGCAGGCCTTCCTGCCCGACATGAAGCGCCGCCGCTCAGGACGTATACTGGTGACCGGCAGCATGGGCGGTTTGATGGGTGCGTGGAATGGGGCGGGGCCAGAGGGAGGGGCGGAGCCTGGTGGCAGTGCCACGGGCTGCAGTGGGCTCCCGGTGGAGACCCTCCCAGACGCGCCTCCAAAGCCTCTTCTCCCCTCGAAGGGCTGCCGTTCAACGCCGTTTACTGCGCTAGCAAGTTCGCGATCGAAGGTCTTTGCGAGAGTCTGGCGGTTCTGCTGCCGCCCTTCGGGGTCCAGTGAGTCACCGCTCCGCCCCCGGGACCCCTGACCCCTGACTTTGGGAACTCCAGCACCGTGTCCTGTTGGAGCCTCTCTCAGGCGTTCTCCCTGGCCCCTCCCCACTGCGGCTCACATTTACTGTGTGTCAAGGCACTTGCCACTCGTTACCGCACCTCTGCTGCCATCCAGCTGGGAAGCTCGGCCCGAACAGGTTAGGTGACTGGCCCAAGGTCACACAGTAAGGGAGCCTGCCAGGTTGGAATTCTGATGCAAATCCTCACACCCCCGAATGGCTGTGGGGCGGAGGGAGCGGGGAGGCAGGGGTGCTTTTCCGGCAGTAAGCCGCTTTTCAAAGGCTCTGGTTACTCGGCGCCCGCCGCCGGCGCACAGACCCCCGTCCCTCCTGCCCTGCCCGCCCTGCCCGCCCTGCCCGCCTTGCCCTGCCGGGCGGCGGGTCTGGGGTCCGGCCCGCTGGCTGCGCCCCCGCCCACTCGCCCCTCTGGGCCCGCAGCGTGAGCCTCATCGAGTGCGGCCCGGTGCGCACCGCCTTTCTGGAGAAGCAGGAGGGCGTCCCGGGCGGGGCGCTGGACGGCGCGGACGCTGAGACCCGGGTCCTCTTCTCCTGCTACCAGCGCCATTTGGAGCGGATCTTCCGCGAGGCGGCGCAGGACCCGGAGGAGGTGACCGAGGTAGGCGCCGGGCGCGGCCCCGGAACCGGGTACGGCGCGCGGGGGCTGGCGGCGAGCCCCCGGCCGGCCCCCGGCCAGCCCCCGGCCAGCGCGCTTCCCCCCGCCGCCGCAGGTTTTCCTCGCCGCGCTGCGCGCCCCGCGTCCCGCGCTGCGCTACTTCAGCACCGAGAGCTTCCTACCCCTGGCGCACCTGCGCCTGTCCGACCCCAGCGGCTGCAGCTACGTCGCCGCCATGCACCGCGCGGTATTCGCCGACGAGCCCGCGGAGGAGGAGACGGCCTCGGACCGCGGCGACCCCGGGCTCCGCGCTCCTCCCGGCGCCCGGCAATAAAGTCTTGGCCCGCCGCTGTCTGCCGCTCTCTCCTTTGTGCCCCAGGGGCGCGCGGCTCCGGGGGACGGCGCCAGGCTGCCGGCTCACCGCACCTGTGCGACAAGTGGCGCGTGCAGCGGGTGGGTGACCTGGAAAGATCGTGGTTAGCCCGGGTTATGCCTATGCGGAAACCGAGGCCCAGAAAGAGGAAGGAGCTAGTCCGCGGAAGGGCAGGGTGGAGAGTGGTCCCTGGATTCCCACGGGGTGTCTGCAGCAGGAGTTAGGTGGACCTGGGAAGGGGGAGAGTGGGGGTGTGACTTGGCCCCCACTAGTCATGGGACCTCAGGCAAGGGCCTTATCCTCTCGAGTCTGTTTTTTTCCTAAGATTTTATTTATTTATTTTACAGAGAGAGAGTTAGCGAGAGCAGGAACACAAGCGGGGGAGTGGGAGAGGGAGAAGCAGGCTTCCCGCTGAGCAGGGAGCCCGATGCGGGGCTCGATTCCAGGACCCTGGGATCATGACCTGAGCCGAAGGCAGATGATTAACGACTGAGCCACCCAGGCGCCGCTCTCAGTCTGTTTTCTTATCTGTAAAATGGGTATAAGACCTATGTCATGGAGTGTATGAAAGGATTAATTGAGGTAATGTCTGGAAGTGCTGGATGGAGGTCTTTTTTTTTTTTTTAAGATTTTATTTATTTGACAGAGAGAGAGGACAAGCAGGGGGAGTGGCAGAGGGAGAGGGACAAACAGCCTCCCCACCAAGCAGGGAGCCTGATGCGGGGCTCCATCCCAGGGCTCCAAGATCACGACCCCAGGCGAAGGCAGACACTGACTGAGCCACCGAGGTGCCCCTGGGATGGAGGTCTTAATAGCAGGCACCACTATTATTACTACTACTAGCCGTGTTACTATTGTAATTGTGTTCCTGTGTGGAAGCCAGATGTGTAAAGAAGAAACAAAGCTAAGTGAGTCAAAAGGATACAGCTCCATCCTCCTCTGTGCCCCTGCCCTAGACAAAACTCAGCCGGACGAATCCCCACCAGCCCAGAAGCTGCCACTCACCAGGAGGTTCAGCTGAGGCTCCAGGCCTGGCGGGTCGGCCCAATGGGCTGTCCTGTCTGAAGTCGGGAAGGCGCTGGAGTGGCAGGAGCCAGTGAAAGGGCCAATCTCCTAGGGTGCTGGAGGAGGGGTGGAGAATAGGTGGAGACTAGGCCCGGGGTTGCAGGCAGAAGGACAGGGGTGCCCAGGAGATGGGACCCGGGAAAGGACTAGGAGACGGGGAGGGAAATGACCATTTGGAGTGGGCAGGGGCCTGGCTGCAGAGAACGTGGGAAGTGGAATAGAGAGGAAACTGCTGGGGTTTGTGTGGAACCTGAGGGGGGCGGGGAGGAGGCATCGCATCTTGGCCCGCTGCTACCTCCAGGTAGTGGTCTGCTCTGGGCCGTTGGACTGCTGGCCACTTCTGCTCCTGGGACAGGGGACCTCAGCCAGCTCATCCCTGCCTATCCCCCTGCCCTGCTGGCCCTGATGGTTCTGCTGTCCCTTCAGGATCCAGAAAGCCCACAGAAGTGGAAAGGGCCAATGTGGCATGAATCTCTGAGACATAGGACCTGCTCTCAGAGCCTAACTCCTGTCCCCCAAGCTGCTCTTTTGCACCCCTGTGTGAGTGTGTGTGTATGGATGTGTGTGTATGCGTGTGCTCACAAGGTCACCCCTGGGAGGTGGGGACACAATGATGAGAAAGGCCAAGTGTCTCCAAATTACATTCATACTCTTTTTTTTTTAAGATTTTATTTTTTAAGTAATCTCTACACCCAGCATGGGTCTTGAACCCACAACCCTGAGATCAAGAGTCCCATGCTCCACCGACTGAGCCAGCCAGGCTCAGGTTGACCTGGGAAGGGGGAGAGTCATACTCTTAACAGTCTCATGCAGTCACATGACTTTGAAGACCACTTATATGCCCATGAGCCCCACCAAAGTCTCCAGTGTCCCCAACTCCATTGTTTCCCACAAACTTCAGACATACATCTCCAAATCCCTACTCAACATGCCTTCTTGATTCCTAATAAACTTAATGTGTCCAAATGCCAAGTCCATTCCAGCCCTCCCACTGCTCTCGCCTGTCTACCTCGCTTCACTATTTGACAACTGCATTCTTTCTCGCTCATCCCTCAACCAGTTCATCAGCAGGTACCTTCAACCTTCAAAGCAGATTCGAAAATCACCCTGGTCTATGCAGGCACCATCTCATCTGGATTATTGCTGTAGTTCCCTAATTGGTTTCCCTGATGCCACCCCTGCCCACCAACAGTAAAATTTCCACAGAGCACCCAGAATGACCTTTTAAAAATGACAGTTATTTCATGTCTGTGCTTAAAACACCTCCTGTGGCTTTCTAAGTAAAATCCAAGGCTTTTCCCCAAGACCTCCAACACAGTCTTTGATCTGGCCCCCACCTCCTTTCTGACCTTACTTCTCACCACTTCCCATCATCTGATTCAGCCCTGCTGGCTTTCTGCCCCAGGACCTTTGAACTGGCTGTTCCTCTGTCCGGTTCACTTTCCCTAATCTCTGATTCTTCTTTTAGGTCTTTGCTGTTTCCCTGGACTTATCTAAAATAGCATTCCCTTCCCTCCACTGTAGTCCCCTTACCTTGTTTTATTTTTCTTCATGGCACTTATCATCAATAGATGTGTTATAGATTTATTGACTTGCTGACTTTATTGTTATACATTTATAACTTTCACCACCCCATCCCAAGACATACAGGAATCTAAGCTCCAGGGGAGGCCCTTTGTTTTGTTCACTGGTTGATCCCTTGTACCTAGAATCATTCTTGATCATGGGAGACACTAAATTCACATTTAGTGAATAAAAATGAGTGTTGGTTCACAACCTGGGCAGTTCCCTGGGTGAAATCTGAAACTGGCCCCTGTACACAAAGGGCAAGGAGAGACAGAAGAAAGAAGCAGACCACTCCAGATTGGTAGGTGGTGGGTTTAATAAGCAGGCAAACTGACATACGAGACTTGCCCTAGGCGGCTGCAAGATCTCTGCATTTGCCCACCAGAATCTTAAAAGTTTATATAGAAGACTTCAATAGGTTCAGTCACCTATAATGTCCAGATGGTCTCAACAACATTGCTCTCTCAAGGCTCCCACTGTGGGAATATTCTGACAGAGGAGGGGGCGAGGAACCTACAATTGCCTAGGTCCAGCCTGAGTCAACTGGCAGTCACATTTTCTTGATGATCTCTTCCAGCAGTGAGTCTGTGTGGGACTGTGCTCAGATGTTTCAAGGTACTTCCTGAGAGTCTGCAGTTTGTTTCTTCATTTTGGGTCCTCCCTTTAAAAATCCAATCTAACAGGGCGCCTGGGTGGCTCAGTCGATTGTCTGCCTTCAGCTCAGGTCATGATCCCAGGGTTCTGGGATGGAGCCCCAAGTCTGATTCCCTGCTCAGCGGGGAGCCTGCTTCTCCCTTTCCCTCTGCCCTTCCCCCCTGTTTTGCTGGCTGTCTCTCTCAAATAAATAAATAAAATCTTTTTTTAAAAAAGGAAGACAAAACAAACACCCATAATTATGAAAATGAGCATTTGTTTAGTTTGGGAAAATAAACCACAGCACATTACTGGAATCTTTGGAAATTGGTTTCCCTCCCTTTTGAGATCTCTGTGGACACTTTATTTGAAATATCTCCTGATGGCAACCTGGCTTCCTCTCCCCAGGGAGACTACCAATTCCAGCCTTTCCGGCCCCATTAGCTTCACAGTAAACCCTTGCCACTAGGTCTTCCCCTCCTCCCTTTTCTCCTAACAGGAGAACATCCTCTGGCAACTCTACTGAGCTGTGATGCAGAGCTCTCCTCCTCTCTCCCTCAAACTGGTTCTGGGTGGTGTGGAGAGCTCCCCACAGAGCCACAAGACCTCTGCCATTACTTCCTTATATGTTCCTGGAACATAGAGGGCCTCAATTTCCCCAACTGTGAAATGGGGACTCGGACAGAGTTGTCCTGTGGCCTCCCACAGGAGGATCCTCGGACTGGGAGGGCGCCAGGAGGGCTGCGGGGACTCTGAGTCCTGATTTAAGCGCCACCCTGTGACCCCCACCTCTGTAATGTATTAAGAGGAAAGCCAGGTGTTAGTTCTGCCTTTGCCGCTGTCTCCTGGGTGACCTGGCTGAAGCCATTCTCCTCTCTCAGGGTCTAAAGGACATCCGCAAAACGCTTTCGGGTCCGCCTTGCCCTCCACGCTCCAGATCCCTCTCGGCTGAGATCTGGAAATAAGGCTTCACCCGCCTCCCAAGCCCGAGTTCGGCCCCGCCCCCTCGGCCGGACTAGCCCCACTACAAAGTCTCGCGAGATCCCGAACCGAGCGGAGACTTAGGCCTTGCTGCCGTTCCGTAGCTCGGAGACGCATGCGCTGAACTACTGTTTCCGGGTCGCGGCCAGGTAAGCCTCCGCGGCGGCGCTCGCGGAACTTAAGCCCAGAGGTCTCAGTAAGTAGGAGACCGATCCGAGCCTGAGCGTTTTCCTCTAGTCCCCTCCTTCGAGTCTCTGAAGACCCGGGTACAGCCTGGCAGTAGGGCCCAGGATTTCTGGGTCCCCAGCCCTATGACTCAGGGGCTCTTGGCCAGCCTAGTTTGCCCGCCCAGGATTTCGATTCAGTTCAGCGACTTTACTACTCCGGCTGAGAAATGTGGAAACCGCAGCTTAGGGCATAGCTCCTAGGCGCCGTGTAGCAGGCCCCGTGTCCTCCCCCGGTTTCCTCTGGATCAGCGCAGACCCCCGTCCCTGCGCCAGGTCCCCTCCCTTGGGTCCAAGGCCCCAGTTTTCAGCCCCAGCCACATAACCCCTCAGTCACCCACGCCTCGTCTCCCTGGCTGTCCGCAGGCCTGGGCAGCATGGCCGTATTCCGGTCGGGCCTCCTGGTGCTGACGACGCCCCTGGCCTCCCTGGCCCCTCGCCTGTCCCCCATCCTGACCTCGGCGGCCCGGCTGGTGAATCACACGCTCTATGTACACCTGCAGCCTGGCATGAGCCTCGGGGGCCCAGCTCAGCCCCAATCCAGCCTCGTGCAGGCCACGTTTGAGGTCCTGGATTTCATCGCGCACCTCTACGCTGGCGCGGACGTCCACAGGCACCTGGACGTCAGAATCCTGCTGACCAATATCGGAGCCAAGAGCGCCTCTCTCCCTTCCCTGCCCAGCTCAGTCCAGAACCTGGCCCACCCACCGGAAGTGGTGCTGACTGACTTTCAGACCCTGGATGGAAGCCAGTACAACCCGGTCAAGCAACAGCTAGAGCGTTATGCCACCAGCTGCTACAGTTGTTGTCCCCAACTGGCTTCGGTGCTGCTATACCCCGATTATGGGTCCGGAGAGCTGCCTGTGGAGTCCCTGGATGTCCCCTTACCCTCCACCATCAGGCCAGCCTCCCCCGTGGCCAGGTCTCCAAAGCAGCCAGTGCGTGGCTACCACCGTGGGGCTGTGGGTGGCACGTTTGACCGCCTGCACAATGCTCATAAGGTGTTGCTCAGTGTCGCGTGCATCCTGGCCCAGGAGCAGCTTGTGGTGGGAGTAGCAGACAAAGACCTGTTGAAGAGTGAGTGAGAGAGACCCTGGAATAGAGCGGGGAAGGCCCTCAAAACTCCTTAACCTCGCCCCCAGTTCATGACTGATGAAGAGTGGGGCCATCCTTTACTTCCCACCCCTCCCAAATGTCACAGTGCCTGGCACTCAGTTGGTGATAAGGAAATTACGTTAAATGAGTAAGTGTAGCTTTCTCAGTGTGTTGTCACCACTCAAATCAGAATTCCCCCAAATGTGGAGCCAAGGAGTCTGCACTTTTAAGAAGTTCTCTGGTGATGAACCCTAAAGATTGAGACCCTGGCAATAAATGGATGAGTGGGTTGTAGGTAGTTGTGCCAGAGACACAGCAAGAGGGGACTCGTGGTTGGGTGGTTCTTGGAATTCTCCATCTGACTCTGATGGTGGCACTGCTAGTTCTCTGGGCACAGGCCAGCCCCTGCCATGACTGTTGTGCTTGCTGGCTGCCCCCTTTTCATAGTTCCCCTGACACAGACCACTTCCCAGCTTAGCCCTTTCTTCCTGCCACCCACCCCCATCTGGAGATTGGATGCTTAGGGTCAGTCTTCCCCAAACTTGCCTATGCCTTTCCTCCCCAATAAAAAGATCTCCCTGTTTTTTGGGCTCCTTCCCCAGGCAAGTTACTCCCTGAGCTGCTCCAACCCTACGCAGAACGTGTGGAACATCTGAGTGAGTTCCTGGTGGACGTCAAGCCCTCCTTGACTTTTGATATCATCCCCCTGCTGGACCCCTATGGGCCCGCTGGCTCTAACCCCTCCTTGGAGTTCCTGGTGGTCAGCGAGGAGACCTATCGTGGGGGGATGGCCGTCAACCGCTTCCGCCTTGAGAATGTAACCCCTGAGGGAGACTGGCAGAGGGAGTGGATGGGATGGGGAAGGCCACGTTGGGGGACTGTTGGAAGTACCATGACCTTAGAGGAGGGAAGAAAGGGCTTAGGGTGGTGAGGAAGAGTCAAGAAAGAACTGGTTCCCAGCTTGCCCTTGGATGCAGGCTCTACCTCTGGAGTACCTAGGGGAGGATCCGGGAGCGGTGTGGGGGGGCAGCTCGGGTGTCACTGTCATCCCGTCCCTCCTTCCCTCTCCTCATCCCTCCTCTTTTACCGCAGGACCTGGAGGAGCTTGCCTTGTATCAGATCCAGCTGCTGAAGGACCAAAACCACAAGGACAATGAAGAAGACAAAGTCAGCTCCTCTAGCTTCCGCCAGCGAATGCTGGGAAACCTGCCTCGGCCCCCACATGCATGCCTTTCTCCCCCCCCCCCCCCCCCCCCCCCCCCCCCGTCTTGGGTGGGTTGGAAATGCTGGAGAGTAAAGACAAGAATTCAGTCCCAAGCATGAGTCTGAAGACCCTAGTAATTGGGGTTCCCTGTCCTCCACCTTCAGAAGAGGCCAGAGCTACCCACACACCTGTACGTGATTGGGCTGACGGGCATCAGTGGCTCCGGGAAGAGCTCAGTAGCTCAGCGGCTTAAGGGCCTGGGGGCATATGTCATCGACAGTGACCAGCTGGGCCATCGGGCCTATGCCCCAGGTGGTCCTGCCTACCAGCCTGTTGTGGAGGCCTTTGGAACAGGTAATACGTGGGGGGTGGGGAGGGGGGGAAGAGCTGGAAGTGGCCTGAAGTGAGGAGATGGCCTGGCCTCCTTCCCCAGCCCTGTGTCTCTGTCGTCCAGATATTCTCCATAAAGATGGCATTATCAACCGGAAGGTCCTAGGCAGCCGGGTGTTTGGGAACAAGGTAAACACACTCTTCCCCAAGGGTTTCTCAGCTGCTACTAGACGCAGAGGTTGGGACCCAGTAGACCTCTCTGGTCTGGTCCAGAGTGCTCCCTTCCATTCATCTGTTCCCAACCACCTCCTCCCTCGGGCTGGCTCCATCTCCGAGGGAAGGTAAACGGTCGCGTTCTCTGTTCCCCTCCTCAGAAGCAGCTGAAGATACTCACGGATATCATGTGGCCAGTTATTGCAAAGCTGGCTCGAGAGGAGATGGATCAGGCTATGGCTGAGGGTGAGTGGGAGGGAGGATGGGAGCAGCCCAGAGGGACATTAAGCAGATTCTTCTCCTGGGAGCTTCCCCACCCCAAGCCAGACCTTCTACTTTCCTTGGGACTAGGCCTCCTTGGCTCTCTGATAGTAAGTGGCAGTGTGCTGCTAGCAGTGATTGGGGTCTCCCCACAGGAAAGCACGTGTGCGTGATCGATGCTGCTCTGCTGCTTGAAGCCGGCTGGCAGAACATGGTACATGAGGTGTGGACCGTTGTCATTCCCGAGACTGAGGTATCTGGACCCCATCTCCCACCCCAGCCCCACTGCACACCGCAGTCCCCTCTGAGCCAGTGGGTTGACCCTTGCCTTGTCTGTGTCGAGGCTATACGACGCATCGTGGAAAGGGATGGCCTGAGTGAGGCTGCGGCTCAAAGCCGGTTGCAGAGCCAGATGAGTGGGCAGCAGCTTGTGGACCAGAGCCACGTGGTGCTGAGCACCTTATGGGAACCGCATGTCACCCAACGCCAGGTTGGTGCTCAGGGAAGGGCTGGCTTGTGGGGAAGGAGTCTCCAGTGGGTGCCTGCCTGACCCTGTCCTCTCTTCCTCCAAACATTCTGGCCCACTCAAAGGTGGAGAAGGCCTGGGCCCTCCTGCAGAAGCGCATCCCCCAGGCACCGTAAGGCCCATGGCTGACATTGAGTTCTCTGTGGGGCCCAAGTGGCCCTGGAGCTGCCAAGAGATTCAGCGGTGAGGAGGAATGGGGGCCTCAGGGCTCATCCTGGTTGGGCCTAGAGGGCTCTGAACCAAACTGGGGAGCGCAGGGCTGGGCCTGGCGGACACATGAAGCCTACCCAGCTTGCTGGTGTTTGGCCATCACTGAGGATGTGGCTCATCGGGGAGCAGGCCTCTCTGGCATTCTGTGCCTACTCTTGCCCACAGTGTCTGATGCCTACGGCCGACTGTGCCCAGGGCAAACACTGGAACTTGTAACAGAATTAAAGATGAATGTTGCCAGGTGCTGCCTGTATGGTGTCTGCTTCCTGCCTGGATGCCTTTGGATATCTTGGGAAGCCTTGAGCTGGAAGCCGGGAGTGCAGTGGTTAAGAGCTTGGCTTTTGAAGCCAGCCAGCCAGACTGAGGTCAGCCTTGGCCCTATCCCTGATAGCTGTCTGCTTTGCGAGAAGCTACCGACTTTCTAGGTTCCTCAGTTTCCTTCTCTGTAAAGTAGCATAACTTAGCCAGGAGGCTCTCTGAAAGCGTTTCTTCCACTGGTCTCCTGCCATGCGTCTGGCTGCGTGTTGGAGGACCGGCCTTCCACAAGCCGGGCGGGGCCTCTGCCCTCACGGAGCTGGCAGCCCGGCGGGGTCGGCCCAGGTGGCCAGGCCTGCACCGCCACGGGGCGGGCTGCCTGCAAGGGTGGGGATGGGACGCGCGTCCCCGGGAGCCGTCTGGGCCCGCACAGCGCGTGCACGCAACTATCGGAAACCGTTCAGACGAGCCTTTTGAGGGGACCCCATTTTACAGAACGTACTGCACGTCGCGGCAGCAAGGACGCCCACCCCGAGGGAGGGCAGAGAAGACATCCGTGTCCGCTCCGACGCCAGTGTCCCCTGCCCACGGGTTCGCCGTTTCCGGGCTGCGCATGCGCGCCCCTCGCCCCGCCCTCCGCCTCCGGCGCATGGGTTGGTGGGTTTGGGTCACGTGGATGCGCCTCGCCGCTTCCTCGCGGCAGGGGGCCCGCCCGCGGGCTGGTTTCCGGTTCGGTGGGTCGGAGATGACGGAGCAGGGCGCTTCTCCGGACGACCCCTGGGTCAAGGCAAGCCCCGCGGGCGCGCACGCCGGCGAGGGGAGGGCGGGTCGGGCTCGTGCACGTGGGGGGGCCGGAAGACTAGGGGATTCCTTGCAGTCCCCAAAGGTCCCCCCGCCCTCCGGGCCCCGGGGCTGCAGAGAAGACAGCTCTCGCCCCGCGCGTGCCAAGGTGGGGAGACAAGTGACGCGTGTGTGCACGAGTGTGAGGGGGCAGGGTTTGGGGGCTGGGGAGGCGCTGGATTGGGGGTGGAGTCAGACGGGATTCTGCGGAGGGGCGGCGCTCCCATGGTCTCTCCGCTCTTGGCTCCCGGCAGTCCTGCGGTCGCCTGCGCATCCCGGGGGGATGTGTGTGCTCTGTGTGTGTGTACACGTGTGTACGCCCGCACGCGTGCATCCCGCGATTGCCTGCGCACCCTGGGGGGCGGTGTGTGGGTAGGTGTGTGTGCGCGCGCACGTGCGCGCGAGTGAAAGGAGGTGCGGTCCCCGGGCGGAGGTCTGATGAGCTGCTCCTTTGCTCCTTTGCAGGTGGAATATGCCTACAGCGACAACAGCCTGGACCCCGGTGAGTGCCTCCCCCACCGTCTCCAGCTCCCTGATGACACTCCCACTGCAGCCCTGTAGATTCCCGTGGTCTCGCCCGCCACACCTGAGCACAGTCCACTGTCCCGGAGACGGAGGGAGGAGCTGCAGGACAGGGCCAGGCAGCATAAAGCAGGGAGGCGATGACGGTAGTGAAGCTAGCCACTCCCTCTCTGTCACTGTGCCCAGATGCCGTCTTGTGAGCCGGTGGTGCCACTGCAGGCCCACGGAGCAGTGTGGACACCAGAGACAGGAGCCCTGCAGCATGGCACAGCAGGAAGCCGATGACCCAGTGCGGGTGGCTTCTGGGTTGAAAGGGGGAGGTCAGCATCTAAGGATCAGAAAGCCATTGTACCCACAGGTGTCTCTGGGTCTAATAGTGTTCCCCTGCCCTACTCCTTAGTGATTGGGACCTCTCTTTTCCAGGGCTTTTTGTAGAAAGTACCCGAAAGGGGAGTGTAGTGTCCAGAGCTAATAGCATCGGTTCCACCAGTGCCTCTTCCGTCCCCAATACAGGTAGGCAGCAACATGCCCCCACCTGGGGGGTGCTCAGAAATACCATCGTTTTGGTATATTTCCTAGACAGGAAGCTCCAGTCCTCCACACGGGGGTGCTGGAGGCCTAGTGTTAAACACAGGCTCTCCCCATCTCTCCCCTCATCTAGGACGATAGGTTCTTCTGGCCATTTGCTGTCTCTGGGTACCAGTTTTTTTCCCCCGCTGGGGCAAGGTGGGGTAGCTGGGCCCCACTGGGCCTCAAAATGACCTCTTCCCGCCCCCAACTTTGAGCGTAGATGACGAGGACAGCGATTACCACCAGGAGTCCTATAAGGAGTCCTACAAGGACCGGCGGCGGCGAGCACATACCCAGGCTGAGCAGAAGAGGAGGGACGCCATCAAGGTGACTGGGGAGGCCTGCACTCAGCCCCCGCAGGAGGGCCTCTGTGTTTCAGATTCATTCGGCCCCGACCTCATCAGATAGCCCAGGCGTCCTCGCGGGCAGCTGATCTAGGCCCTGGACATGAACACCTCCCTCCTTCCAGCACCCCCACCCCTTTGAGGTTTGAGCATGGAACTCGGTTCTCGGAGAGAAGGCTTGGAGCCAGTTTGCCTTAATCCGTCAGAGTTAAGGAAGCCTGGTTTCTCCTGCTGTCTCCACAGAGAGGCTATGACGACCTTCAGACCATCGTCCCCACCTGCCAGCAGCAGGACTTTTCCATTGGCTCCCAAAAGCTCAGCAAAGCCATCGTTCTGCAGAAGAGTACGGCCAGCGAGAGCCCTGGGAGTGGTCGGGGCTGGCGGGGCTGTAGAAGAGGCCAGAGCCTTCTACCCTCTCAGCCTGGCCCTGGTGGGAGGGGGGTGGTTATGGGAGTTGGGGAATGGGGGGGGGTGGGGAGGGAAGGGACGGGGAAGGGGAAACAAAGCCTCGTCTTTCTGGTTGAAACTTCCTCTGTACCCACCCACACCCCAGCCATTGACTACATCCAGTTTTTGCACAAGGAGAAGAAAAAGCAGGAGGAGGAGGTGTCCATGCTACGCAAGGACGTCACGGCCCTAAAGATCATGAAAGTGTAAGGGGGATGCTGAGCTAGGGTAGGCAGGGTTTCTGAGAGGACTCGGGCCAACTTCGGTTCATACCTTCCTCTCGTTCAAAGGTCACGTCAGCTACTACAGGACAGATAATCCTCTCCCTCCCTTAGGTGGCCACTTAGAGGCCGGATTCTGTCCCCCAGCCGTCCCTGACGCATAGCAGACACTCGACGTGCCTGTGGGCTTCATGAAGGGAAGGGTGGGGAGAGGGGTCACCACTTCCGTCCCAGAAGCAGTATCTAGCTGATGTTGAATACCTCCCAGCAGCTCTCCAGAAGCTCCTTCCTGGGGGAGAACCTCGGGTACCGGAGCTGCTATAAGACCTGAGTGAGCCCTGTTACTACTCACTTTCAGGAACTACGAGCAGATTGTGAAGGCTCACCAGGACAATCCCCATGAGGGGGAAGACCAGGTCTCTGACCAGGTCAAGTTCAATGTGTTTCAAGGCATCATGGACTCCCTGTTCCAGTCCTTCAATGCCTCCATCTCCGTGGCCAGCTTCCAGGAGCTGTCAGCCTGTGTCTTCAGCTGGATTGAGGAGCACTGTAAGCCTCAGGTACGGGGTAACAGTGGCCGTGGGGTGGGGGCGGGTCTCCCCTCCCCTAGGCAAAGTGGCCCAAATCCTAATTTGTTCAGAGAGGGAGGGCAGCAGCTTTTAGATTTCTTGTGGGGGGGGGGGTCTCCCTTCTTTGCTTCCTAGCCCAGATTTTCCAGTCCTCCACACTTGCCTTTCATTTGGCAAGACTGATGGGGCACTTAAGCAAGGCTTGCTCTGCCCCTTCTCAGCCCCCCTGCGGCTGCCCAGCGTGTACCCCTCATCACAGCAGCGGACTCACTCGGCACATCTGGAAAGATTCCTGGCCGCCACTCCCCAGGCCTGCTGAAGTGGTTTGCCCCTGGGGGTTTGTAAGGGGGCAGCGTGTGAATGCTGTCGCAGGGAGTCCCCTGCTTCTGAGGACTGGTTGCCTTTTCTGAGGCTTGACTTGCATCTGAGAGTCTTTGTTTCCTGACATTTTCTGGAAACACTTTAAGCATACTGCAATCCTGACACTCACGAGCCCACCACCTAAATGTTACCATTCCCATTTTCCCATTTCTTGCCTTTGCTTTTCCATGTAGCCAGCCGGGCCACCCCTTTCCCCATCCTGTTGGGCGGATAAACTGCAGCCGGCAGTGTGGCCTACGGGCTTTTCCCGTTGCGCTCTAGAGCGCACGCCTGGCCTAGGCGCGTCCCTGAGCCGGCTCTGTCCTTGCCTCCGCGTCAGCTGTCTCTCCCTCTTCTGCCCCCGCCAGACCCTCCGGGAGATCGTGATTGGCGTCCTGCACCAGTTGAAGAACCAGCTGTACTGACTGGCTCCCGGAACCTGCAGAAGAGCCAACGACAGGCCTGATTCTCCTGCTTGGCCACAGAGCCACTGGGTTTCTGAGATCGGACTGTGATGCTGCATACGGGGCCACTGGCTCCCGGAGCTTGGTTCCCCGGCACCCCCTCATCCTCAGTGGGGCTGGGGTGTTTGTTTTGTGAAAGCTGTAATTTATTATATTGACCACAAAACTCGAGCCTCCTGTCTTTCCCCCTCCCCATAAAAGTCCTCGGGCAGGGGTCTGCTCTGGGCACCCCCAAGAGTTCCCGGCCTCTCCCTAAGCCTCAGATTTTTGCTCCTTATCTACACGTATCTGGAAGCTACTATTGCATTTGGTTTGGTCTCTTGGGCCAGATTTGGGCAACATCTGGCCCAAGTTTGGCCATTTTGGCAGTAGTGGGACAGGAAGAAAGGAACGCGAGGAAATATTCCCACAGCCATGAAGTGTGATAGGCCACCTGGTACCTGGGCTAGGGCTGCCAAGATCCTGCCCTCGCCTGCTACTCCACTGCCTCTCCTTTCCCGGTCCCTGCGTGCTCCTGCCCTCTGTCCCACAGGCAGGAGCACAGCACAGAGGAGTGTGACACAGCACTACGTATTAAGAGGCTTTTTTCTCCTTTAATTTTTTAAACACCAACAGTGCAATTTTGCTAAAGTTACAATTTTGGAAAATGAACGGGGCCTCAAAACCACTCCCAGCCTTCCCGTCAAGTGTATCTGGGTCTCTGCCATCTCCGTGCTACCTGCATTTCTCCCAGGACTTGGGGCCAGGGTGAAGGGGTAGAGAAGATACTTAAAGGGGTACAGAGCCCGGAGAAGTCCTGGGTAAGGCCTTGGGCTCCTTGAATGCTGTGTACAGTAGCCTCTTTCTACCCTGTAGCCTTCCTCAGGGTTGACATCTGGGACGTTTGGTTATCCAGAGAAAATTAAGTATTTTTATATCAAATTATATTACAATAAATATCGCCAAATGCTTTCCTTTAGTGCTGTTCCAAAATTGAGCGTTCAGTTCAAGCAACTGGAATGTAGCCAGTGAAAGGAGCCTGACCATCCGCTGTGGGCTCTCGCTCCCTGCGCCCCATACTCTGGTCCCTGCCCCTCTCCCCGCCACTCTGCCCAAAGGCAGAAAGCAGCAGGAACAAAAAAAAGAAGCCGACCTGAAGGAGGCAGCCAGCCCAGGACCTCTCTTTCCATGCCCCCATCCTGCAGAAGGACCCCTCAAGGGTCTGGGAGCTTCACGTTGTAATCCTCATCTGTCTCTATGCCGACTTCCTCCTGGGGCAGGGAGACAAGTGGATGAGCCCTCCTCGGACGGAAGCCTAGGGGAGCGAGGACGGGAGAGAGAGCCACTTACAAAGAACTGCTTCTTGCTCTTGGGGTATCCTTCCAGAATTGCATCCGACAGCTCTGTTGCCTGACAAGAAACAAAACCACCCCTTTTCAGGTGGGTGGTGGGCACCGCCTGGCAGAGCCATGCTACTGGGCAGTGGTTTCTGCCATTTCTCGGGGCCTGCCCGGAGCGCACACACTCACCATCCTCTTGCGCTTCCTCCACTCCTTGCAGTACTTCTGCCTCTCGCTGTACACCTGGACGGGACAACAGCTGCTTCTAGCCCCTCAGCCCCGCGGCAGGTGGGGGCCAGCCGCCTCCTTGCTCCGCCCTGCTCCGGCCCTCCCTCCCAGCTCACCCGCTCTTTCTCTTCCGGAGTCACGTGGTTGGTGGCTGCTTTTATATTCTTTAGTCTCTCTCTGTAGCCAGCACATTCCTTCTTCAACTCCTGGATCTCTTTCTGCATCTCCGGTGTGGTCAGGGCACTAGTTAACTCCTTCAGCTCTGAAACCATAGCTCTCTGAGGTCCCTTCCCACCCCTGAAGATGGGGCTTTGTCTTTCCCAGTGGGTGCTGCCTGAGGTAGGGGACTGGGCCCCTGCCTTGCTCTAGGTTCTACACACAGGGTCCAGAATGGGTTCCATATTCTGGAAATGCTCAGCAGAGATGAAGGCTTACAGAATTACCAGTTTATTCTAGTTTTTTTTCCTCCTCCATCTACCAGCGGTGGTAAAGTGAGGTTGAACACTTCCCTGTAGCCAGTTAAAGAAGCAGGCACAGAGGGAGCGTGGGCCCGGGACACAGATAATGTTAGGGAAGACAAATGCATGTTTTGCCCACTTAATTTAAAAACCATGAGCTGTTCTCTCTTTTAACATGATGCCTGCGGCAGCCGAGCAGAGATTCACTGACACAAGACAACACTGCCATCAGCAAACCATCCACTCTGTAATTCCTGACCTCTAGACTGACCCTGACCCTAGGGGCCCCTTCGGGGGCTGCCCAGTCTTACCAGCCTCCATGTGGCGGCAGCTCTGCTGTAAGCTCTGCACCTTAGCAGTGAGGGCCACGATTTTGGCATCCAGGCCTTGGAGGTCGGCATCACTCACCATAGCAAACTGGTCCTGCCAGAGGTGAGAGGAAAAACAGAAGGGGGCTGATGTGAGGCACAGGAGGGGAAGCCACATCTGGGGGCAGGGGGCAGCATCACACACACGCCAAGAACGTGAGGCTCCCCAACCCTGCAGAGGGCCTGGGGGAACAGCGGGAGGGTCCTGGGAGAAACCACTCAGTTTAGTACCGGTCCCAACTAACAAGATATAAACAAGAAGTTAAAACCTGAGGCCTGTCCTCAAGGGGCTTCAAGGCTGGCAGGATGCCGAACAGGGCAGAGATCTCAGTTTAGTGGTAATACCGCTCACTGGGCTGAAGGAGTAAAGGAACATTCTTCCCAAGGTAGAGCTACCTAAGTTGCACGTTCCCACAACAGGAAGAACCGGGACAGGTAGAGAGGCATGGCGGGCAGTACCGAAGGGACTCCGGGGCAAGTGTGAGCAGCCCGTCCCCTGAGACCCGCTGCTGCCAAGGACAGCGCCGGGGCTCCGCGGGGGTCTTGTCAGTGGTGATGGGGAGCAGGTTAGGAAGAGGCGGGGAAGGCCAGCCTGGGCAGTGCGGCCTCTACCTGAAGGCAAGGCAGGCCTTCAGAGCAGCAAGCAGTGAACCACGGACAGCCTGCACGCCACGTCCTGCCAGATACAGGGTTTTGAAAACAAAAACTGATTGAAACAGCCACGCCTGCCCGTTTACATACTGTCTCGGGCTGCTTCTGTCTACGTGGCAGACACGAGTGGTCGTGACAGCTGCGTAGCTGTGACAAGAGACCATCTGGCCTGCAAAGCACAAAAATATTACTGGTCTGGCCCTTTACAAAAGAAAATCTGCAAAATACTCCCTTAGGGAATCTTCATTAGAGTAATCACATAATGAAACCTATTTTAGGAAAATCAACCTTAATGGTGGTTTGGTTCAGTTAAACTAGTATTCAGTGTCTACTGGACGTTAGCTCCTGGGGTGGGGGTGCTGAGCAAAGGAATATGAGTGAGAAGTGGGGCTGCCTTAGAAGAGCTGCAGTCCAGCGTGAAGACGTGCAGAAAGACAACCGCAATACAGCATCCCTCAGAGAGGTGAGCACCTGAAGAAAAGGCGATTAGAAAATTCACGGAAGGTCTCTGGAGAAGGTGATGCCTGAGGGGAATCCTAAAGGATGAGTAAGCGTTAGCTGAGCAAAGAGGAAGAAGGCGAAGAAGGGTCTTTGAAGCTCCAGGCAGAGGAAGGACACAGGAGTAAAACTCATCTAAATGGTCTAGTACTGGTGAATGGACCCAGACGGGACAGGGAGGCAGGCGGCAGCCTACGGCCAAGGCTCCAAGTACCTTTTCCCTGTTCTAGGGAGCGCCAGAGTTTGAAGTCGCTAAATAGCGACTTTGAAGGCAATGGCACTATTGCCAATTACACAGACCCTTCTGGCTTTAGTGTTTAAGATGGCTGGGAGGCCAGCAGATGTTAGGAGGGCATCGGGGAGATGAGGAACACCTGAACTTGAGCAGCCACCAAAGATGGAAAGGAGAGGGCGGAGCAGGAAGGGGGAAAACCAACAGGGCACCGGGAAAAGAGAAGAGTGACTCACTTCCCGGTCTCTAGGTTGGGCAAGACGTGATTCCACGGAGGTAGAAGCAGGTAGGAGGAGCCCATTTAGGGGAGATGCCGCATTCTCCTTCAGTGATATTAGTATTGACTCAAAGGCCTGGCAGGCTCCGGGTGGTGGGCTGGCCCAGAGATACAAAATTAGTGTTTTCTGTGTGGGGAGTGAGGGGTGGGGACAGAAGGCGAATCATTTGGCAGATGGTGGTTCTAATCTAGATGCCTGGGAAAAGAAACTTCCACGCGGGAATGGATCCTGGCAGCAGCAATTCAGGGTCTTCTTGTCATCGATCATGTCCCGAATCTGGAAGTCTCACTAATCTGGGTCACAGCAAGGGGAGTACCCACCTTGATTTCAAGGGTGTCTGGGGCCCTTTTCATGGCGTAAGACAGGTTGAGTTTCATGGGGTGCCTCAAATTCTCCAGAAGAGAGTTCATTCTAGAGACTGATTCACCTAATGTCGGGGTCTCACACGGGCGATAATCTGCACAGGTTTCCCTCACCTGGTCGGCAAAATAGATCTTCTGCTTGCCGTACACCTTCTCTTTGATTTTGCCTTGCTGGGCCAGCTGCTCTAGGGCCTTCACCACCGCCTGCGGGGGGCGGGGGGCGGGCAATCAGAGGAATGACTTCGGGGGCCCAGGCAGCGGGAATTTCAGCCCCAGACCGGGAAGCGCCCGACAAGCCTTAGGAAGCCCAAGGCTAGAATGGCAGCTTCGAGAGGGCAGCACCCCAAACTGATTCGAGGGGACCCAAGGGGAGGAATCCCAGGAGAGGGTCCTCACCGCCTTGCCCAGTCCGTGTTCCCGCTGCAGGTTCCCGAACACGTCCTGGGCGCTGTAGGGCCGGTTCTGCTCCTGCAGGTACTTCAGGAGGATCCCGGGGGCTACGGGGAGACGGGGCAAGGGTGGGGGTCAACCGACGCCTCGCCCGCCCCCCGCCCGGTCTCCCTCGCGCCCACTGTCCCGTTTACCTCCCGCCGCGGCCTCCGCCCGGCCTTTACTCATGGCCTTTCCCGCCGCTAACTCGGAAAGCCGGACGTTGCGGTTGCTGGGGGCAACGGCTGCTTCCGGCGACGAGAAGGGCGGGTCGCAAGCGTTGATTGGCGGAAGGGGACGTCTTCGCGAGGCACGGAGCACCCCTTCCCGGGCGCCGTAGTTCGGTCCAACCCGGAGCCTGGCGCCAGCCTCCGGGGTCTCAGCGGCGGAGGCGGGGCGCTAGCTCCAGAGCGCTCCTACTACCCCCCACCCCCCCCTGCCCCCCCGGCTCGGGGCGTAGGCCGGAGTAAACCACTCCTTGAAGTCTCGAAACCCACTTCCAGGGGCGGCTGAACTCTCGTGACCGTGAGCTGGGACGGGGTTCCCGGGGGGAGAAAGCTTAGGATCAGCTCCCGCTGGGCTAGCGACTTGGCTCAAGGTCACAGGGTCAGTAACCCACAGGGACGTGTCCTCTTCCACGGCCCAACGTTCTTTTCGTCAGTCTCATTTGTAAAATAGGAACAAGAGGTACTGGCAGGAGGGTGGTTGGGAAGACACGAAAATGCCTAAGAGCCCTGGAAGCATAGCGCTACCCTTATTTGCGGGTTACCGAGCCTCGCACCCAGGGGGCGCTCAACACGTGCTGTGGAATGGACACCAAGGAAAGGCAGGGTTGGGAGGGGGCTACTGTTAAGCCGCAAAGCTTGTAGAAAAGTTTCCTGTTGGCCGAGTCGATCTTATGGCAACACCTGGCAGGTGTTTTCCATTCCTGCCCACAGTGGCCAATGGGACAAAGCCTGAAATAAGTGTTTCTAGTTTCTGAGGTCAGCTGAAGGCCAAAGAGCAGCTGTCCCTGCAGCTCAACCCAGAGGAGGAGCATGATGCTACTTTTTAAAGCCTGTTACCTAAAGTCTCATTAGCCTTTGATGCAGGTACTTGTCTTCACACGGCTAGGGAACAGTATTAAG